AAAAAAAAAAAAAAAAAAAGGAATTTGTAGTTTAAGCCTTCCAAACATTTTCAGGTATGTTACTGTTGTTGCTAGTTTAGTTCTGCTATAGTCAGGGAATACAATTTATACAACCAGTTGTTTAAAACTTAAGATTTGTTTTATGGTTTTGGTAGAATGCTTCATGTGTACTTGAATGTATTCTCTTATGTTTTATAAATGTCAACTAGTTAACTTGGTCAATTTTGTTGTTCAGGGGTTCTATATACTACTTGTTCTATTAATAGCAGAGAGACAATGGTGAAATCTCCAGTAATAGTGGATTGATCCATTTACCCTTTCTGTTCTTTTTTCATTTGTGTAATTTCTACCTCTGTAGTTTGATACATGTACAATTAGGACTGTTATGTTTACCTGGAAATTGATCCTTTTTATGTCTCTCTATCCCTGATTACATTTGTTGTTCTAATGTCTGCTTCATCTGACACTAATATTGTGATTCCAACTTTCTTTCATCAGTGTTTGCGTGTTCTATCTTTTCCCCCACTTTTAATTATGTATGCCTGTATATTTAAGGTTTCTGCTAGCATATGCTGGGTCCTGCTTTTCAATTCAGTTGTTTTGCCATCTCTTAACTGGTGTGTTTAGACCATTTGCATTTGCTATAATTTAAGAAATATATTTGGATTAAAAACCTACCTTCAAGGTTCACTTATTGTTTCCTTGGCTGTGTCAAGTATACTTAAGTATACTGATGAACCTGTTGAAAACGTGTTCATCTGTGTTCATTTCTATTATTTCCATGATTCATATAGTTCCACCTCTGCTCAAATGACCCATGTAGTTTGGCTGCTGGGCATCTTTTTGGTTACAGTCTTGAACATATTATAGTTGTTTAAAATTTTGTCAGCCCAACAGCTGTCACTTTGAGTAGTTCTGGAGTGCTTTGTCACTTGGTGGGGATAGAAAGTGTAGATTATTCTTGTTTTGCATGCTTTGTAATTCTCCCCCCCCTCCCCGACCCCAAAAGCTAGGAATCGTGTGTAGAACCAAAACAGGTAAATAGATTTCTGGAAATGGTCATGTCATTCCTTCTGTTAAGCCGTGGATGGGGTGGGGGGAGGGAAGAATTCATTAATACAGACAAGAACTGGACTAGGTTTAAGTTTGGTTGCTGCTGTGGTTACCCTGAGTTCACCAGAGTCTTCAAACATCACTAGTGATTCCTTAGCCTATTTTCCCAAGGGTTTATCTCAATGTCTGAGTCACCTTCAGATTTAAGTGTTCCCTGACAACTATGGCTCAGAAAATCCAGTTATACTGAAACATTTTCATTCATTTATTCACTCAAGATCTCACTAGTACTTACCACTTCAATGTGCCAGTCACTATACTAAATACTGAATTTGCCACTCCTCTAATACTCTACAACCTTCTGCCACTATCTTGTGCATGTGTACTTTCTCTCTTTGCCTTCAATAGCCTTCCAACTCTTAAGTGCCTAGTCAGCCTGAGTCCTGTTCTTCCTTTAATATGGTCACTATCTCCAAGTAATCCCTGTTCCCATGTCCTCCACTCACAATGGAGTTCACCATCTTCTTCTTGGTTATTATCTGTGTCTTTTATACATGTTTCCACATTTTAATATTATGTATTCCCTAGAAAATTCTAAACGTCTGCAGGCAAGTACAATGTCTTATTAGTTTATATTATATATAGTAGGTTTGTGACCATTGATTTGGAACCAATCTCTATGGCAGGTTGGCAAAGAAATTAACAAAGCCAGGGGTGTGAAAGGGGAGGAAGAATAGACCTGCCTCTCCATGAGCATTCTGTTAATTTGCTCACCCATTTGCTTCAAGTGTTGGAGATATTTTATGCTTTTACAGTACTATGACAAGCGTAAATGAAAAGGTAACTGTTCTATTATCCTATATGCATGCTTACCCTTCACAAATCTGGATGTTATTTTCTCAGTTGTGGTCAAAGTTAGAATGGCGTAACTCTCATGGTTATACATTTCGCAGTTATCTTAGCAAGATATGGGTGTTTACAAAAATGGTTTTTGCAGAATACTCCAACCGTATATAACCCAATAACAAAAAGAACTCTGATTTTATTTCTTACATACTTTGTACAAGCGGGAAAACAGGGACTGAAAGCTGTTACATATGGTGACTAGCTGACAGGAAAAGAGACTGGTACATAAATCCAGAGTTTCCTCCCATGTATTAGTCAGCCTGGGCTGCCATAACAAAATACCATATCCTGGGTGACTTAAACAAAGGAAACTTATTCTTCAGTTCTGGAGATCAGGGTGCCACATGGTTGGATGGTAGGGAGAGCTAGCTTCCTGGCTTGCAGACGGCCACCTTCTTGTAGTATCTTCTCATGGCTTAGAGAGCAAGCTCTCTGGCATCCTTTCTTTTAAAGACACTAATATTATCATGATGTACCCTCATAAACTCATCTATCCCTAATTATCTCCCAAAGGTCCCTATCTTTAGAGGTTAGGGGTTTGACATATAAATTCAGAGAGGACACATTTAGGGAATGGCATCTCATTCTCCACCAGTCACTTATTGCACACCACTGTTCTTACATGAAAATACCACTATTTATTCATATAAATATAAACAAATTTCTTTTCAAATAAAACAGTAACAAATAATTTCTCCCTGCTCTTAAGTTCCCATTCTTCAGTATATCCTGGCTTCTTTTTTCCCATTAGCCTGTCTCAGGCTTGTTAAGATTTTTCATACCATGAAGATTATGTATCTTCATATTCATGGAGACAGTATGATAGTAACTCTACTGATTCACACACATTATGAGTGTTACCTTTATCCACTTGAAGATTCACTCTACTTTTTTCTCACCCACAATTTTCTGTCAGCTGAAAGTAGTACCCTCGTTTGCCCAGGAAATCTCTTATACATGATAGTCTAGTTCTAAGGGACAAACTTAAAACTCTTTCTTCATGTGACCTTAAATAAGGCTCAAAGCCCCATCTATAAATATGGGCTTTGTGGTTCCACTTTGTTGTATGTGACTAATGAAACCGCTGTCTAAATTACACTGCAAATAAAATATCAGTGTCTTATGGAATGAAGAGTGGTCTTCATTAAAAATGATCCAGTCATCTGAACTTGCTGCTTTGAAATTAAGACCTATGGTAACATCACTGCCTCAGTTGATTACAAATTGTCTGGTCAAAGTCACCCTAATGACTTTTGCTCTTTGGCTTTCAAAGTGGGACACATCACCAAGACGGTCCCATTTTTACAAAATTTAGGTTATAGACAAAGGCATTTTTCCCATGCCTTGGTCTCTGCTACTTTTATAGCCTCATTCTACGCTTTCACATATTTAAAACAAACTTAGGCTTTTTCCTCAGAATGTGTATTCTGATGTCGAATCAGAGATGAACTCCGACTATATGCCTTCCCACATTTACTACATTCATATGGTTTCTCTGAAGAATGACTTCTCTGATGCCGAATAAGATCTGAGCCACTACTAAATGCCTTCCCACATTCATTACATTCATAGGGTTTCTCTCCAGTATGACTTCTTTCATGTAGAATAAGGGATGTGCGTTGACTAAAGGCCTTCCCACATGTTTTGCACGTATATGGTTTTTCTCCAGTGTGAATTCTTTCATGTTGAGCAAGGTGTGCACTCTGACTGAAGGCTTTCCCACACTGATCACATTCATAGGGTCTATCTTCAGTATGAATTCTCTTATGCCGAGTAAGAGATATTCGATGACTGAAGGCTTTTCCACATTCCTCACACTGATAGGGCTTTTCTCCAGTATGAATTCTCTGATGTTCAATAAGAAATGACTGACGACCAAAAACTTTACTACATTTATTGCATTTGAAAGGCTTCTCTTCAGAATGAATGTTCTGATGTATTTTAAGGTTGGCAGTTCCAGAAAACATCTTCCCACATTCCTTACATTCAAACAGTTTCTTTTTCCTTGTATGAACTTTCTGATGTTGAATAAGGGATGAATGCCGATTACAGACCTTTTCACATTTACTGCATCTGTAGAGTTTCTCTCCATTATGAATTCTTAGATGTAGAATAAGGGTTGAAAGGCGCCTGAAGACCTTGTCACATTTATCACATTTGTAGGGTTTCTTTGATGTGTGAATTCTCTGATGAAGCAAAATGGATGAAATCCTATTAAAGGATTTTCCACATTCTCTGCATTTATAAGGATTCTCTAAATGGTGACTTTTCTGCAGTGGACTCTGACTTAAGGTCTTCTCACTTTCATAGGTTTTCTCTCCAGTGTGAATTCTTTTATGTATAACAAGGGCTGATTTGTTTTTGAAGCCTCTCCCGCATTTATTGCATTTATGTAACTTCTTTTTGCTGTGAATCTTCTTATGAAGTAAAAGGGATGACTTTCGAATGAAGTCTTTCCCACACTTTCCACACTGGTGGATATTCTCAACAAAGTGAATTTTCTGGCCCACAGTGAGAGTTGGGTACTGACTCAAGGCCTTCCCATAGTCAAAGGTTTCTTTTCCATTATGAACTTTCCCATGTAGAATAAGAGATGTTCTTTGAATGAAGTTTTCTCCACACTTACCACATTCATGGCTTTTCCTTCCATTGTGAATTTTCTGATGAAGAATGAGGGATGAGATCTGTCTGAAAGCTTTTCTACAATTACTGCATTCATAAGGCTTCTCTCTAGTATGTGATTTCTGATGAAGTTTAAGAGATAAACTTTGACCAAAGGTTTTCCCACAGTCATTACATTTTAAAGATTTCTTTCCTGAATGCACTTTCCTGGGTTTTACTAGGACTGAACTTTTCTTGCAGCCTTTCTTTCCTATGGCAACTTTTTGTGATGCAGAAACTGGTTTCTGATAGCTGCTTTGCCCAGATTTGTTGCACAGAGATGTTGGTAACTTCTTGGTCTCATATTTAGACCTTGAGTCTGAAAGACACCAAGAAATTCAGTATTTGTTTTCCTATGCTGAAAAATGAAGTTTCTGTGCAGTTATTATCAATGATAATTATAATATCAATTATCATCAAACATAATAACAATGATGATAACCAGAAGAAAAACTTTGTAGTATCTTACTGTAATTTTAACATGCCAAAAGGCTTTATAGAAATATTTAGTAATTAAAAATCAGGAAAACTTGTGATTTGAAATTAATAAATCAAAGTTTTATTCGTAGGATAAATTCATACCACATACCATATTAAACTCCATAGGTTATTCATTAGATGAATGTACTTTTATTACATGAAAGGTCCAAAAAAGGCAGAAGGTAAACTACAAACAGAAGGTAAATTAGTAGTTGCCTGGGGCTGGAGGTGGGACTAGGGTTTAATTGTAAATGGACATGAAGAATTTTATTAGGGTGATAAAAATATTCTAAAACTAGATTATGGTGATGGCTACACAAGTTGTCAACTTTATTAAAAACCACTGAATTATACACTTAAGTGAATTTTACAATATGTACATTACATCCCAATGAAATTGTAAATTTTTAAAATGTATTCTTAAAATCCAATCTTAAAAAAACAAACAAACAAAACACTGGAATTCTGGTTTGCGGTTCTTCATGTAAGAAGCTTGGAAAGCACAACTTCATCCTAACAAGTAAAAAGCTAAACAGATGTTAAAACCAACAACTCTTCTTGGATCCATAAGACAGGGGAGAATACAAACGGCTGCCTCCAATTTCAGCGGCCTCTAGCCATCCTGTCCCTCCTAAAGGGATAGGGTTTTGGTGGGGGGGCACTGAGAAACTGAAGACATTCACATTCCAGAGGCAAAGGCTCCCTAAAAGACACACCTCACCCATCACACATCACTAAAGGGCTGTTTACAATAGTTCCTTTTACCTGGTACATAACCTCTGGCAAGTAAAAAAAAATTACAAGGCATACCAAAAGGCAAATAACACAATTTGAAGAGAAAGAGCAAGCATCAAAATCAGACTGATATGGCAGGGATGCTATTAATTCTCAGACCAGAAATTTAAAATTGATTAATATGTTAAGGGCTCTAATGATAAAGTATACACCGTATTAGAACAGATGAGCAATGTAAGCAGAGAGATGGAAATTCTCAGAACCAAAACAAAATGTTTGAGATCAAAAACACTGTAACAGAAATAAAGAATGACTTGGACAGAATTCGACACAGCTGAAGAAAGATTCTGAGAGCTAAAGGATTTATTCTATTGGTAAATTAGAATTCTTAAAAATCAGGGGCTCCTGGGTGGCTCAGTCAGTTCAACATCTGACCCTTCATTTTGGCTCATGTTATGATCTCACAGTTTGTGAGTCTGAGCCCTGTGTCAGGCTCTACACTGATGGTGTGGAGCCTGCCTGGGATCCTCCCTCTCCCTCTCTGCCCCTACCCTGCTCATGCTCACGTGCTTTCTTGCTCTCTAAATAAAAATAAACTTAAAAAAAAAAAAAAAAGAACCCTTAAAACTTGGAAAGCACAGTAAATAAAGACTGAAAAAAAGAGAACAGAATATCCAAAGACCATGGGACAACTACAAAAAAGTGACAAACGTATTATGAGACTACTAGGAGAAAGAAGAAAGAAAAGAAGAGCAATGAAGAAACAATAGTGAAGAAAAAAAAAAAAAGAAAAAAAACCTTTATTTTTCTTATCATTTTCATTTTAAAGTTTGAGAGACAGAGAATCTCAAGCAGGTTCCGTGCTGTCAGCCTAGAGCTCGACATGGGGCTTGATTTCACAAATTGTGAGATCATGATCTGAGCTGGAACCAAGAATCAGACACCCAACGACTGAGCCACCCAGGCACCCCTATTTTTCTTATTCTTAACTGACCTAACAGTAATAGTTTATTCAAAATAATAGCATCAATGTATTCAATAATGTTTGGTCATCTTTTCATCTTATGTATGTACATGTAATATATACATGCTTATCATATTTATATATAAATGAAATGAATGATAACAATGATACAGGTGATGGGAGAAAGAAATTAGCATTATTTTGTTATTATAAGGCACAGTCCCATGAAGTGATATACTGGTACCTGAAAGTGGACTTGGATTAGTTGTAAAGGTATACTGTAAACTCTAAGGCAACCACTTAAAAAACAAAAAAGTATAATTGATAACACTGGAATCATATGAAATGCTTGTTTAAAAACACAATAGGCATGGGGCGCCTGGGTGGCTCAGTCGGTTAAGCGGCCGACTTCGGCTCAGGTCATGATCTCGCGGTCCGTGGGTTCGAGCCCCGCGTCGGGCTCTGTGCTGACAGCTCAGAGCCTGGAGCCTGTTTCAGATTCTGTGTCTCCCTCTCTCTGACCCTCCCCCGTTCATGCTCTGTCTCTCTCTGTCTCAAAAATAAATAAACATTAAAAAAAAAAAAAATTTAAAAACACAATAGGCAGAGGGGCGCCTGGCTGGCTCAGTTGGTGGAGCATGCAACTCCTGATCTCAGGGTTTGAGTTCAAGCCCCACACTGGGTGTAGAGCCTACTTAAAAATACATAAACAAAAAACAAAATAAAACCACAACAAGCAGAAAAAGAGAAGACAAAAGCAGGAATAAAGACAATAAAAAATATTTATTATGTATAGAAGTAGATATCAATCCAACTATATGAGTAATCACTTTGAATGTCAACAGTATAATTACTGTAACAATTAAAAGAGACTGTCAGGGTGAATTAAAAAACATGGCCCAATTGTGTGTTGTCTGTAAAAAACCCACTTTAGATATAGATTAGACATAGATTAAAAGTAAATGAATGGATGGATAAAGAAGATGTGGTATATATACACAACACAGTATCAGCAATCAAAATGAATGAAATCTTGACATTTGCAACTATGTGGATGGAACTAGAGGGTATTATGCTAAGTGAAATTAGAGAAAGACAAGTATCATACGAGTTCACTCATGTGGAATTTAAGATACTAAACAGATGAACATAAGGAAAGGGTAGCAAAAATAATATAAAAACAGGGAGGGGGACAAAACATAAGAGACTCCTAAATATAGAGAACAGAGGGTTGCTGAAGGGGTTGTGGGAGGGAGGATGGACTAAATGGGTAAGGAGCATTAAGGAATCTACTCCCGAAATCACTGTTGCACCATGTGCTAACTTGGATGTAAATTAAACAGTACATTAATAAATTTTTTTTTTCAACATTTATTTATTTTTGGGACAGAGAGAGACAGAGCATGAACGGGGGAGGGGCAGAGAGAGAGGGAGACACAGAATCGGAAACAGGCTCCAGGCTCTGAGCCATCAGCCCAGAGCCTGACGCGGGGCTCGAACTCCCGGACCGCAAGATCGTGACCTGGCTGAAGTCGGACGCTTAACCGACTGCGCCACCCAGGCGCCCCAATAAATTTTTTAAAAAATAAATGAATGGAGAGAAATATACCATGCCAACACTAATCAAAAGAAAGCAGGAGTAGCTATATTAATTCTAGACAGAGCAGACTTAAAAGCATGGAAAGTTATCATGGATAAAGAGGGGCATTACATAATGAAAGAATCAATTCTTCAGAAAACATAACAATTCTTAATGTGTATATGCCTACCAACAGAGCATCAAACTACAATCAACAAAAACTGTAAAACTGCAAGGAGAAATATATGAATCCACTATCATAGTTATTAAAACACTTCAACATCCTTCCCTCATAAATGAACAGATTGAGCAAGCAGAAAATTCAGGGGAACTCAACCACACCATTTTCAATTGAATATAACTGACATCTACAGACCACTTCATCCAATGACAGTAGTAGTCACATTGTCCCCAAGCTTACACAGAATATTCCCCAAGACAGACAACATTCTAGGCCTTAAAACACACCTTAACAACGAATAGAAATCACACAGTGCTCTCAGACCACAATGAAATTAAACTAGAAATCAGTAACAGAAAGATCAGTGGAAAATCCCTAAATACTTGGGAGGTTAAATTTTCAACAACACATGAGGGGCATGTGGGTGACTCAGTCAGTTAAGAATCAAAGTCTTGATTTTGGCTCAGGTTATTATCTCATGGCTTGTGAGATAGAGCCCTGCATGAGGCTCTGTGCTGACAAAGCAGAGCCTGCTTGGGAATCCCTCTCCCCCCACTCTCTGCACCTTCCCTGTTCATACACCCGCACTGTCAAATTAAAACAAAAAACAAAAAACAAAAAAAAAAAACTCTCAAAAGAAATTTTTAAATATTCTGAACTAAATGAAAACAGAAACACAACTTACCAGAATTTGTGGGATGCAACGAAACTAGTGTTTATCCTAGGGAAATTTATAGCACTATATAGCACATTAGAAAAGAACAAAGATCTAAAATGAGGGGCACCTGGGTGACTCAGTCCCTTGAGCATCCAAATCTTGATTTCAGTTCAGGTCATGATCTCACAGTTCGTGGGATCACGCCCTGCATCAGGCTGTGCGTGGACGGTGTGGAGCCTGCTTGGATTCTCTCTCTGCCCCTCCCCTGCTGGAGCACACTCGGTCTCTCAAAAACATAAACTTAAAAAATAAATACATAATATCAGTAATCTAAGTTTCCTTTTCAGGAAAACATTAAAAGAGCAAATCAAATCCAAAATAAGCAGAAGAGGGGCACCTGGGTAGCTCAAGTTGGTTGAGCGTCCGACTTTGGCTCAGGTCATGATCTTACGGTTAATGAGTTTGAGTCCCAAATTGGGCTCACTACTGTCAGTGCGGAGCTCACTTTGGATCCTCTATCCCTCCCCTGCTCTCTCTCTCAAAAACAAACATTAAAATAAGCAGAAAAAAATAAGAATTACAGCAAAACTCACTGAAATTGAAAACAAGAAATCAATAGAAAAATACAATGAAACCAAAACCTGGTTCTTTGAAAATCACTAAAATTGATAAGGTTCTAGCTAGGCCAAGAAATAGAGAAAACACAAACTACTAATATCAGAAATGAAAGACACGACAGAAATACACATTTCATGAAAATTAAAAGAATAATAAAGGAAAACTATGAACAACTTCTATGCCCTTAAATTTGATAACCTAGATGAAAGAGACCATTTTGTTGAAAGGAACAGTATTCCAAAAGTCACACAAGAAATCAGAAAATGTGAATAGGCCTCTAATTATTCACGAAATTGAATCAATAGGGGCACCTGGGTGGCTCAGTTGGTTAAGCATCCAACTTGGGCTTGGCTCAGGTCATGATCTCATGGGAGTTCAAGCCCTGAATCAGGCTCTGTGCTGACAGGCTCTCTCTCAGCCTCCTGCTCTTTCTCTCCCTCAAAATAAACTTAAAAAAAAAAAAAAAAAATGAACCAATAACCTTCCAAAACAGAAAGCACCAGGCCCAGATGCATCTGCTGATGAGTTCTAACAAATATTTAAAAGAACTTTGGGGCGCCTGGGTGGCGCAGTCGGTTAAGCGTCCGACTTCAGCCAGGTCACGATCTCGCGGTCCGTGAGTTCGAGCCCCGCGTCGGGCTCTGGGCTGATGGCTCAGAGCCTGGAGCCTGTTTCCGATTCTGTGTCTCCCTCTCTCTCTGCCCCTCCCCCGTTCATGCTCTGTCTCTCTCTGTCCCAAAAATAAATAAACGTTGAAAAAAAAAAAAAATTAAAAAAAAAAAAAATAAAAGAACTCATACCAATTCTCCATCATCTCTTTCAGAGGACAGAAGCAAAAAGAATACTTGATAACTCATTATATGAGGCTACTTTTACCTTAATACCAAAATCAGACAAAGGCAACACAAGAAAAGGAAACCACAGATGAGTACCTCTGATGCATATTAATGCAAAAATTCTAAACAAAATACTAGCAAACTGAACTTAACAGCACATTAAAAAGATCACACACACACGAGCAAGTGGGATTTACACCTGGAAAGCAAGGAGAGTTCAATATGGGAAAAGCAATCACTGTTATACATCACATTAACAAAATAAAGGACAAAAGCCACATGATGATCAATTGATACAGAAAAAACTTTTGACGAAATTCAAAACCCTTTCATGATAAAAACACTCAACAATCTACAAATAGAAAGAAACTACCTCAACATAATAAAATCCGTAATTGAAAAACCCACTGCAAATATCACAGTAAACATGGAAAGACTTAAAACCCTTTCCTAAGATCAGAAACAAGGCAAGAATGCTCACTCTCACCACTGCTATTCAACATACTACCAGAAGTTGTAGCCAGAGCAGTGGGGTTGTTTTTTTTTAATTTTTTAAATGTTTATTTATTTTTGAGACAGAATGCAAGCAGGGGAAGGGCAGAGAGAGGAAGACACAGAATCTGAAGCAGGCTTCGGGCTCTGTGCTGACAGGGGTCAAACTCATGAACCGTGAGGTCATGACTTGAGCCAAAGTCAGACACCTAACCAACTGAGCCACCCAGGTGCCTCAAACCAGAGCAGTTTTTTAAAAAAAGAAATAAAAAGCATTAAAAAAAGGAAAAGAAGTGACATTCTGCCTGTTCACAGATGACATGAGCTTCTTTGTAGAGAAGCCTAAACATTCCACACAGACATACAAAATGTTTGAACCAATAAACAAATCCAATCAAATAAAACAGCAGGATACAAAATCAAGACTCAAATCAGTTGTGTTTCTATACACTAACAACGACCACTCAGAAAGGGAAACAAGAAAAGCAATCCCATTTACTATAGCATCAAAAAGGATAAAATATTCAGGAATAAATTTAACTCAAGCAATTTGTACATGGAAAACTACAGAGCACTGCTAAAAAGTCATCAAAGGTACAAATAAACGGAAAGCTATCCTGTGCATGTGGACTGGAAGACTTAATATTCCACCCAAAGCAATCTACAGATTCAATGCAATTCCTATCAAAATCCCAATGACATTTTTTACAGAAATAGAAAAAAAATTTCCTAAAATTCATATACAATGTCAAGGGACCCCAAATAGCCAATCTTGAAAAAAAGAAACAAAGTTAGATGCCTCACACTTTCTGATTTCAAAACATACTAAAAAAGCAGGGCCTGTGGCGCCTGGGTGGCTCAGCTGGCTGAGCATCTAACTCTTGATTTCGCTGCACTTATAATCCCAGGGTCATGGGATCGAGGGTCCTATCAGGCTCTATACTGAGTGTGGAGCCTGTCTGGGATTCTCTGTCTCTCTCCCTCTGCCCCTCTCCCCAGCTCAGGTGGTCTCTCTAAAAGAAAACAAATAAATAATTTAAAAAATCCTTCTAAACACACTACAAATCAACAGTAATTACGATGATATGGTAGTGGATAAAAGACAGATATAAAGACTAACAGAACAGAATAGAAAGTCAAGAAATATACACTTGCATATCTGGTCAAATGATTCTCAATAAGGAGGCCAATACCACTCAAGAGAAAAGGGCAGTCTCTTTCACAATCAGGGCTGGGAAAACTGGGTATCTACATGTGAAAGAATGATCTTGGACCCTTCCTTACACTTTATATATAAAGGTGTAAGTGGCTCAGGGGGTTGAGTGACAGACTCTTGATTTCAGCTCAGGCCATGATCCCAGGGTTATGGGATCAAGCCCTGCATCAGGCTCTGCACTGAGAATGGTGGAGCATGTTTAAGATTCTCTCTCCCTCTGCCCCTCTCTTCTGCTCACTCTCTTTCTCTCTCCCAAAAAAACCCTACAAAACCCAAGTAACAACAACAACAAAAAAAACTTCAAGGGGGGGGGGGCACCTGGGTGGCTCAGTTGATTGGCATCCCACTCTAGATTTTGGCTTGGATCATGATCTCACTGTTTGTGGGTTCATGCCCCACTTGGGCTCTGTCCTGACCGCGGGGAGCCTACCTGGGATTCCTTCTCTCACTCTTCCAAAAACAAAAATTTTAACTCAAAATAGATTAAAGACCTAAACGTAAAATCTAAAATTACTGAACTCTTGGGGTGCCTGGTGGCTCAGTCGGTTGAGTGTCTGACTTCGGCTCAGGTCATGATCTCGCGATTTATGAGTTCAAGCCCTGCATCAGGCTCTGTGCTGACAGCTCAGAGCCTGGAACCTGCTTCAGATTCTGTCTCCCTCTCTCTGCTCCTCCCCTGATTGCTCTCTCTCTCTCTCGTTCTCAAAAATAATAAACATTAAAAATAAATAAATAAATAAATAAAATAAAACTACTGAACTCTTAGAAGAAAACACTGGGGAAAAAGCTTCAGACATTAGATTTGGCATTGATTTCTGAGATATGACACCAAAAAACACAAGCAACAAAGTAAAAAAAATAGGACTACATCTGCATGTCAAAAGGAACAATCAAGAGAGTGAAAAGGCAATCTATGAAATAAGAGAAAATAATTGCAAATCATCCATCAGATAAGGGACTAATACACAGAATAAAGAACTACAACTCAACAACAGATGACAACCCTATTTTAACAAACAAGCAAAAGACCTGAATAGACACTTATACACATGGCCAATACACCCATGAAAAGATGCTCAACATCACTAATCATTAGAGAAATGCACATCAAACCCACAGTATCACCTCACACCTGTAAGGATGGCCACTATCAAAAAAAACAAAAAATAACAAGTGTTGACAAAAAACTGGAACCCTTGTATACTATTGGTGGAAATGACAAATGGTGCAGACACTATGGAAAACAGTACGGAGGTTCCCCAGAAAATAAAAAATAAAATTATCATATGATCCAGCAATCCTACCTCTGGGTACATATCCAAAAAAACTGAAATCAGGATCTTAAATACATATCTGTACTCCCATGTTCATTGCAGTATTATTTACAGTAGCCAAAAGCAGAACAACCCAATTATCCATTGATAAATGGATACAAAAAATGTGATAAATATAATGAAGTATTATGCAGCCTTAAAAAAGGCTACAACATGGATGAACCTCAAGGACATTATGCTCAGCAAAAAAAAAAAAAAAAACAACAAACAAACAAAAAACAAAAAACAGTTATAAAAGACCAAATACTGTATGATTCCATTCATACAAAGTATCCACGGTAATCAAAATCAGAGAAATATAAAGAAAGGTGACTACTGAAGGCTGGGTGGAGGGGTGGAGGGAAATTAGTGTTTAGTGAGTATAGTTTCAGAAGTTATTAGAAGATGAAAAAGTTCTTGATACCTGTTGCACAACAATGTGAATACACTTAACTGTACATTAAAAATGGTTAAAATGAACTCAATATTATGAATTTTTTTACAACTAAAAAATTCTTATAAAACTGTTTAAGTAAAAATAACCTGATAAAAAAAAGAATCTATCAGAAAAGAGAATGAGCTCTTGGAAAGTAGTCAAAGTGAACAGTTGTGGAAATTTTTTTTTTTTTTTAAAGAATGAAGGAATGATGTGAGCTTGAACATTATCATTAGAAATACTATCATGAGAGAAGGTGGAATATGCTTTCTCTGAAGGGAAATGCTGAGGCAGGGAAGGCTGGGATGAGGGCATTAAGAACTGAGCTTCTGAGAGCAGAAACTGGGGTTCAAACCTAGCTCTAATGCCACTTCCTAGCTGGGTTACCGTAAGCAAGTCACTGAACTCTTCTGATCTTCAGTTTCCTCATATATAGACCAGAAATAATAATACCTACCTTAGAGGACTGGGAGGAACCTATACTTAAAGTATGTCTGTTACCTACTAAAGGTTTATTAAATGTTGGTTATTCTCCTTCTAGAGCTTGCACAAAAGAGACTGGAATTTTCTTCTCAGGCCTGGGGCCTTTAAGGTAAGGAAACTGGGAGCTCTCAAATATCAAGAGGTTGCCCCCTCAAGATGCAGGGTGCTCTTGCACACAACGGCAGTGTATAGGCTTTGGTTCTGTCACTCACCCAAGCCCCGGCGTTTTCTCACTGGCTCCACCATCCAAGGTGCTTTCCCTTTCTCCAATAAGGTGATCACATTTGGTCTCCGAAAGGAAAGTCCTGCATTCGGGAAAAACATCAGAACTGAGCAGGATGTGGATGCCACAGATGTCAGGGCCAAGCCCCATGTCAATGGGAACGGGGGTTTATGACCACAAAGGGTACACAGAAGACGTAAAGGGCAGGCGGAAAAGGAGGATGAAAGTTCAGTTACAGTGAGAGGTGGTGCTCATTTCTAACTCTACAAAGCCAACTATGGTCTTGAAAAGTCAGGCCAGAAACTCCTGAGTCTATTGCCTTTAGCTCCCACTCCCACCTTCTTTGATCTGTTTTGGGTCGAGGGGCTGGGGCTCTGCAATCCACACTTGTTCATCAGCAGCTCCCTATCAGCATCCACCAGCAACCAACCAGCAACCACCACCAGGGGCTCTGCTGGTTTTCATTTTTCTTTTTCCTGCACTCTCAGAACAAGCCTCAGCCGGACTCTTCATGACTGTAACAGACTAGTCAGCACACCTCTCTCTTCCTTCAGAAGTGTGAGTCCCTTCAAGTCCTAAAAACCCCAAACTCTCCCCTTTGTATGCCTAGCCCAAGGATGGTGGTGGCTGCAACCTACAGTTATCATCTATCAATCAGCTGTGTCCACTAGTTACCTTTTAACAGTACCTGCTGATTCCTTTTATTAAATTCTCTCAAAAATTTTGAGGGTGCCCTCAAAAGGTTACATATATAGTTACCATATGATAGCAATTCCACTCCTAGGTATATACCCCGAAGAAATGAAAATACATGTCCACAAAAATATTCATACACGAATGTTCACAGCAGCACATTCATAATAGCTCCAGTTAAAAACTGCCCAAAGGCCCATCAACTGATGAATGGATAAATAAAATGTAGAATATTATTGGCCATAAAAAGAAGGGGGCACTGATACATGCTACAATGCAGATGAACCTCAAAAACATTACGTTAAGTGAAAGAAGTCAGGCACAAAAGTACCACATACCTATGATTCCATTTCTATGAAAAGCCAAGAACAGGCAAATTCATAGAGACAGAAAGTGGATTAGTGTTTGCCTAATCTAAAGGAATTAGTGGGCAAGGAGAAATGAAGAGTGATTGCTAATGGGTCTGGGATTTCTTTTGGGGTAATAAAAATGTTCTAAAACTGACTGTGGTGATGGATGTACAACTCTATAAATATTTAAAACCACTGAATTATATACATTGTATATATATGTGAATTACACATCAATACAGCTGTTAAACAATAAAACAAAACTGTAGTGGCTTCTGTTTTCCTGACTAGACTAATTTATGTCCCACAATAGGCTGGTTGTGGATTATGGTGGTGGGGGGCGGGGGCAGGCCTTACCGAGTGAGACCAGATTCTGGTAGTTTTCCAACATGACGTCTTCATACAGATCCTTCTGAATGGGGCTCAGCCACTCCCACTCTTCCTGGGAGAAATAGATGGCCAAATCCCCAAATGTCACTGGCACCTGAAACAGAAAATCACATGTCCTTTCATCATGGGCTTATGCTTCCACATGGCTAGAGACAACAAGGAACTTGTTCCTAAAAGGGGACATAAATGGTGCCAGGAATCTTTTCAGGAAACATTTGGGGTTCTGAGGCCAAGAGGGGCAGGTATATTAAATAAAATAAATACAACACAATATGATATGATTTAGCTATTATCAAAGACTGTGTCGGAGCGCCTGGGTGGCTCAGTCAGTTGAGCATCCAACTTCAGCTCAGGTCATGATCTCATGGTTTGTGGGATTGAGCCCCATGTCAGGCGCTGTGTTGACAGGCCATAGCCTGGAGCCTGCTTCAGATTCTGTGTCTCCCTCTCTCTCTGCCCCTCCCTGCTCTCACTCTCAAA